GAAATTTAGTAAGGATGAAATTCGGTGTGAGGAAATATTTAGGAATACTACAGTTAGGGACGGAAATGGTAGGTTCATTGTAGAACTTCCAATGAAAGAAAATAGAGGTAATTTGGGTAATTCTTTGAATACGGCTTTAAATAGGTTTGAGAAATTAGAAAAACGGTTTTTTAGGGATAGATGTTTGAAAGAGCAGTATTTTGATTTTATGAAAACTTACTTGGATTTGGGTCATATATGTCAAGGGTTGGGAATTTGACAGATCTGGAATCTTGTGGGGATAATAATACATATTATTTGCCGCATCACGGGGTTTTAAAAGAAACATCAGAAACTACAAAATTAAGAACGGTTTTTGATGCTAGTGCAGCATCAGCCAGTGGCGTTTCATTAAATGACATATTATTGGTTGGACCCAAATTACAAGACAACTTATTTTAATACGGTTTCGGCAATATCAGGTTGTTATTTCGGGCGATATAGAAAAGATGTATAGGCAGGTATTTGTTAAAGAAGATCAACGAGATCTCCAAAGGATAATATTTAGATTTTCTCCAGAGAGGCCGATGGAGATATATAAGTTAAATACGGTAACCTATGGAACAGGTCCGGCTTCTTTTTTGTCTGTACGATGTTTAGTACAATTGGCTGAAGACTTTCGTGGTATTTATAGGGAAGCATCTAGGTCTATACTGGAAGATTTCTACGTGGATGATCTACTCTCGGGTTCGAACACGGTGGAGGAAGCTAAAATTTTAAAAAATGAAATTAGTGAAATTTTGAGCTCAGCGGGTATGGTCTTAAGAAAATGGATGTCTAATGAATGTTCGATTTTAGAAGGAAATCAGAATCAGGTTATAGAGCATTACATAGCAGAAGTAGGTGAAAACCATAAAACTTTAGGAATATGTTGGAATTCTGTTAAGGATACTTTGCAACCCCGGTTAAATATGAATTTTTTGGAATACAACAAGGTGACCAAAAGGCACATCTTGTCGGTAATCGCTCAAATTTTCGATCCATTGGGCATAATAGGTCCCGTTTTAGTTAAAGCAAAATTAATTTTACAATCATTATGGCGTCTAAAAATTGACTGGGACACTGAAGTTCCTTCTGAGCTTAAAATAGTTTGGGATCATTTTCAATCGGAATTGCATCATTTGAACGATTTAAGAATTAATAGGAAAACTATTTGTTGTGATGCCACAAATATCCAAATACATTGTTTTTCAGATGCTTCTCAGGTGTCATATGGGGCATGTGTTTATGTGAGAGCGGTCAATAGACAAGACGAGGTCTATTGTAGTCTCTTATGCTCGAAATCACGTATTGCACCTCTAAAGGTGGTATCATTGCCCAGGCTAGAGTTATGCGGCGCTTTACTTGCTGCTAAATTGGGTTCAGAGGTTTTGAAATCTATACGTTTTACACCAGATAGGGTTTGTTTCTGGACGGACTCGACGATTGTTTTGTCCTGGCTGGCGAGTGAGCCAGTTGAATGGAAAACATTTGTCGCGAATAGGACTTCTGAAATATTAAAATTGACAGAAAAATATGAGTGGTTACATGTGGCATCTGAGAACAATCCTGCGGATGTTTTGTCTAGGGGCATTGATTCTAGTAAAATTGGGGATTCAGATATTTGGTGGAAGGGCCCTAAGTTTTTATATGGTAGCGACGATTGGAGCGAATTCAAAAACTATACAATTTTATTAGATTTGGAAGAGCGGCGTGTCTTAAAAAAGGTATTTCTAATCACGGATAATTTTGATATATTCAGCAAGTATTCTAGCTTCTCAAAATTGATTAGAGTGGTGGCCTATTGCTTTCGCTTTAGGGAAAATTGCAGAAGAAAGGCTGTAACGGGTCCGTTATTGTTGTCAGAAATAGAATATTCTACTTTGATTTTGATTAAATTAGCTCAAAAGGTTGAGTTTCAATCAGAGATAAATGCACTTAAAAATGGTAAAGATATATCTAAAACCAGTAAATTGATTTCATTGGCTGCTTTTCTTGACCATAATGGAGTGTTAAGAGTGGGAGGACGCCTCATTTCAGCTAATTTGAGCTTTGGGGAAAAACATCCGATTATTTTGTCCAATAAACATATATTTACAAGGCTAATGATTTTACATTTTCATTATACAAATTTACATCAGGGTCCACAAGCATTATTAGCATCAATTCGGTTAATCTATTGGCCTTTAACGGGAAGAAGAATAATTAGAGAAATTTTGCGTAAATGCGTTGTTTGTTTTAGGGCAAGGCCGCGAGATTTCATTACGCAAATGGGTAACCTCCCTCGGGAAAGGGTAGTACCAAGTAGACCTTTCAGTCACTGTGGGGTGGATTACGCTGGGCCTTTTGATATTAAAGTCTGTAAACTTAGAGGTTATCGAACAGTCAAAGCTTATTTTTGTGCCTTTGTGTGCTTGTCTACTAAGGCAGTACATTTGGAGATGGTGAGCGATTTATCCACATCAAGTTTCTTGAATTGCTTTAAACGCTTTATAGGCCGAAGGGGACTTTGCACTAGCGTGTATTCAGACAACGGAACAAATTTCGTCGGTTGCAACAATGAGTTACAGGAGCTTTTTGCTTTTTTGTCTGATCCAAAGATCCAAGATAAATTTTCAGAGTTTTTTACAAATTCGAATATGCGTTGGCATTTCATTCCACCACGTTCACCACATTTCGGGGGCATTTATGAGTCAGTAATAAAGTCAGCTAAATATCACATTAAAAGGGTAGTTGGTATTCAAAAATTAACTTATGAGGAGTTTGAGACCGTACTTATCCAAGTGGAATCATGCCTAAATTCACGACCTCTCACTCCTATTACCGAGAATCCAGATGACCTCAACATACTTACCCCGGGTCATTTTTTAATTGGTTCGTCTATGTTTTCTTTGCCGCAAAACGACCTACGGGACATAAACCTGAGTCGCTTGAACAGATATCAGCTGCTCACCCAGATGTTGCAATCATTCTGGGATAAATGGAGCTTAGAGTACTTGACACAGCTACAACAAAGAAATAAATGGTTCCATTCTGAAAATTGTTTGAAGTTGGGAACAATGGTTGTTATAAAGGAAAGTAATGTGCCTCCATTGTATTGGCATCTAGGCAGAATCGTAGATTTACATCCAGGCAAGGACAATAAGTGTCGCGTTGTATCAATAAAAACATTGAACGGTGTCGTTAAGCGCGGAACCACGGAAATTTGTGTGCTACCCCTTGAATAGAACAATTTGAACTTATTTTTTAATGTTGAAAATCAGAAGATTTCAAGGGGGGCGATATGTTACATCTCATTACCTATGTGAGAAAAATTTGTTAGGTGTTTGTCAATTTGTCATTTGATTAATAATTGTAATTGTCATAGAATTATAAAAAAGAATAAAAAAGTAATGTTTAATTTGATGATACAGTCCACTTAATTTTCGATTGGTTGTTTTAATTCTGGAAGAAAAAGACACCATCGGCTAGGGAACAAAACAATATGTATTATTAACTTTACATTTATAAATAATTTTACATGTCTGTATAGACTCTACGCTTTAATAATAAGTATATATTTCTAAAATCTTGGCTCTACTGTAGTTAATAAAAATAAAGTCCACAACCATTCATTAAATACAAAAACATTTAATTTATTTTTATTATTTATCAGCATCAGCTGATTACACCAGCACATGTTCCGCGCGCCCGCCGCGTACACAAACCCATCAACTACTCTTTGTACTCCTCCGCGATCATGTTCTGATCCCGACCATAGCCGATCGCGTTCGTGAGTAGACCATTTGCGGATTAGCACAAAGGCACAGTAGCACAAATGGAGCCATCTCTAGCACAAATGCACAGTGACAGTAGCACAAATGGAGCCATCTCTAAAAATGAACCATTTCATACTGCTTACGGCTTACTGCATACTTGTTACTGAAAGACTATAACCAGGAGCATGTATTTGCTGTAAGTTCATTTTTCTTACGTCTTACGGATACTGCTTACTGCTTACGTTACGGAAGTTATAAATCCAGCTATAACATAATATAAGAAATAAGAATAGAGGCATTTACCTCGGGGTAGTTTTGACCAAACGATTCTAAGAAAAAAAGAACAATAAAGGTGGCTCAATTTTTCAACTAAAACAGGCTCTGTGGTACTTACCTAATAGATCCAAATTCATTTCTTTAATTGTTTATGTCTGTTTATTTATATTAAGTGAATTTAAATTTTTTGGTTATGAGGTTTGTTGACGTTTGTGTTTGGTTTGGTGTGGATAAAAATATTCCATTCAATCGAATGAAGAATGACAGACGAAAGACCACACCAGCAACAACGTTGCCGCTGCTGAATTCCTTTCACACGTTGTCTACTCGGAGCTGGGGTGCGATTTTCGAAACCATTCGAGTACATTTCGTACACGAAATTTGACTGACAGCAATGTTAATTAAATGGGGAGCAGTCAAATTTCGTGTACGAAATGTACTCGAATGGTTTCGAAAATCGCACCCCTGCTCTTATCAAAAGCATAACGTTTTTTTTTAAAGTGCGTTAAGCACTCGAGTCGCTCATAATACATCCTCCTTGCCCCTGATGCATCAAATTTGCAGGGGGTTCAAGAAGTCCTTTTAGGGTTTTATTAATAAGAATAATATCTGCATGTGTGTTTTGGAGTGACTCCGAGAAGCTCTAGAGCGACACGTTCGGTGTAACTCGACGTATAGAAGGAATACAGTTATTAATAATTAACACAATAACATCAAAGTGTTAAAAAAAGGTGTGATTCTGGGTCATTCGCAAATTGTTGAAGGCGCTTCGAATAGAAAATGAAAACGGCACCGAGTGCACTTCGCAAGAAATGCTGAAATCGCTATTCGGCATTCCCTTTCAATTTTGAAAAGACCGACTTGCGTGCAACCGACAGAATTTGCGTCACGTGACTCAAATGCCGCAACGTCATTGGCAAAAAAATTCAAGCGGGATCACCACATTTCCTTTGACGTTCCTCTTTGCTTCTTGTCGTGCGTAGCAATCGTAGCGTAACCTAGAATTATTTGCCATTTTGTTTTGTTTGATATCGTGTGGTGTTTCGCTTTCCGGCGCGGCGTTCTTTTAAGTGTTTCCAAAAATTTCAATTTAACTTGTAAAGAAAATGAGTACCAAACGCAAACACGAATCCGAAAACGAAGACGCTCCCGAACCTTTTGAAAGTTCCGGAGACGAGTGGGATGGTCAGGTAAGTTGAATAAATGCATTAATGGCTTGTGTGTGCTAAAATGCGTTTTTCAGGCGGGAAGAAAGTCCGCCAGGGTGGTTAAGAAAGCGAAGCGAGTAGCGGAAGACAGTGATGATGAAGAAGATAAAGATGAGGGGGAATTTTCAGAGGAAGAACCGAAATAAGGCAAAAAGGCCGGCCCCAAGGGCAAGGATAATGAAGATGGCGAGGGGTCTGATGGGGATTTCAAAGGAGAGGAGCAGCCACAAAAGAAAAAACCTGGACAAAAGAAAGCTGCGACTAAACCCGCAGCTAAATCTTCAGCTAAAGCCACTCCAAAAAAGAAGGCGGCTACCAATGAAAGTGAAGGTGAAGAAGACTCTTCTGAAGAGGACAATTCAGATAATGAAGATTCATCTGGTTCTGACAAATCGAAAACTATACAACCCCTTCCAAAAACAATTTATTCTGAAGATTTTGCAACCGACTCATTCGTCATACTCAGAAAAGATATCAAAGGTGGACCTCAAGCGCGTCCAGTCATTTGGAGGATTGATGGAAAAGCAATATTGCAAAAATTTGAAGCATTTGATGAGGGCGATAAAGTCCAACATAGAAACACTCCTATTGTAAGTAAAAATTAAAAATCAAATTTACAGTTTATTTTAAATTGTTTATTTCAGTACACTGGTTGGTCTCCCTTGGACCAAGAGCTTTATGCCCCCCTCAAAGTTGATGTGAAATCTCAATTCAAGAGTAATTTGGAGGTTGTGGAGGTGTACTGGAACGAATTGAGTGCTGTTGATGATAGTGATTAGTTGTATTATTGCTGTCTTAAATGTCACTTTGAAGTACTACAATTTTTATTTTGATTAGTCATATTATAAGTGTATTTCTATTTCAAATTTCAATAGGCAAAGCAAATCTTGTTTTTTTTTTTCTTTTATTTTCCTACTGTTAACCTTTTTTATGTGAGTTTTGTTTGATTTAGCGACAAATCTGATTTACTATAAAGTAATTTTTTGATTAGGTATTCAAAACCTACATAATAATAGTGTCTCATGAATTTGAGTTTTAAGTTTTTATATCACTATGTATTACCTTTAATTAAATATAGTTTTTCATTTAATTTAATTTTCGTTTTATTTATTTGTCAAAACAATTTTTCATAAAATGTTCCAAGTAGAATTAGAAAAAATGTCATAACTTTGCTTCCGAACCAAATATCGATTTCAAATTTCTTTTATCTTATTAGGCGGTTACACTCGGACGTGGATGTCTGAAAACATGTACGCACATACATGAACGCGCAAACAAAAACATCAATGGGCGGTTACGCGGACATGGATGACTTTGTCTTAATACATATAGGTACATGCATACATCAACGTGCAAACAACAACGTGCATGGCGGTTTCGTACAGACGCTCGCACAAAACTGCAGTCTTGCTATTCTTGCTACAGTGTTCCGAGTGTGCGGTATTTTGCATACACATTAATGTTTTTGTCTGCACTTTCGTGTATGTGCGTACATGTTTTCAGACATTCACGTCCCTGTGTAACCGCCTAATGTGTATGCAAAATACCGTCGCGTTTTTGAATGTGCAATTTTGTATGCACACTCGGAATACTGTAGCAAGACTGCAGTTTTGTGCGAGCGTCTGTACAGAAGCGCCATGCACGTTGTTATTTTTACACCTTGATGTATGCACCTATATTATGTATAAATTGGTAAAAAAAAAATTTTAGGTCACACTCAGACAAAATAAAACAACCAGAGGCACTTAATTAGATTATTAACTTTGGGTTAATTTATTTTTGTTCTTTTTTTAAAAAAAGAAGTTTAAAAGTTAGTTAGTTAAACTTCCGTCGTGTGTGCACGCGTTTGTCGCTCCTTCACTGAATAATAATTTCATAAAGTAAAGTAAATTTTTTTTTTTTGTGTTGATGTCATTGTGTTTAGAAAAATGCAAGCTGCTTCTACTCATTAACACAAAAACAGTAAAAACTTTTTTTATATTTGAAAAGACCACAAAATCATGGTGTTTACTGTATTGACTACAACAGTAATAATAATAATATCCTTATCAGTACCAAAATTCAAATTAAGGAATTTAAAGAATTTGGTTTGTTTACTTTCAAAGAGAAAACAAATTGGGACTGAATAAATGGGATATGGAGTTTTAGCAACGCCTAACTGGGCGCTTTAGAAATATGGAAGACCTCACCTGCACTCAATGTTTTAAAAAGTGCATTTTGAAGGCACGTCCAACTGAAGATGAACTATTTGGCTTGCCCTGTGATTCATGCAAATTAATATTTTGTAAAGTTTGTGCAGAATTGAAAACCACTGAAGCTCACACTCTCGCTTTAACAGAGAGAAGTTTGCTTTTTTATTGCAATGGATGTAAGGAAACTTTCAGAAACATGTGCATGAGTCAGGAAAAGACAGAAGAGCTATTCCAGAAAAATAAGCAATTGAACGAGCTTTTGATTTCAATGGAAAATTACAATAAAGAGACCAGAGTAACCCAGGGAAAGAGGATCGATGAATTAATACAAGTCATTGAAGGCAAAGAAGAGATGATCAAGAGGCTAAGAAGGAAGACTATTGATTTCCAGGATGACGTATTTGCAGCAGAAGAGTCCGCGGAGGAAAGAATAAAACAACAAAATAATATTATTAACGACCTAGAGGTGAAGCTACAGCAAATAAGACAAGATTTTAAAGCTGAACAAGAAAAGTCCGACGAACTCACTGAAACAATCCAGAGGATGGAAAGGGAACTGGCTAGTCAGAAGAAGGAACAGCGAAGATATGAGGAACTTTTAAAGAAATATCAGGATTTGAAAATAAAATTTAAAGAATGTGAGAGGAAGTTAGATGTTTTAAAGAATAAAAATCAAAGTAGTAAGATAAACATGCAGAGGGACGCCAGGGACAGGGAAGAGAAAATGAAGAATAAGGAGACTCATGTGGGAAAAGATCAACTTAACGATAATGTGTCAAATGTGATTAGAGTGGAAGAGGCTGAACGTTTAAGGAGAGAAATTGTGGATAAAAGTGAGACCATTGAGAGTATAAAAAAACAAATGCATATATTAGAATTAAATTGTAATGGACAAGATATTGAAATAAAGAGGAAGGAAGTGGAAGATCAGAATACAATCAATAGAGAGTTAGTAAACACAATCCGGATATTTGAAACTGACAATGCAATTTATGAAAAAGAGTTATATGATATGCGCCAACAGATAAATGAAATGAAAGAAGAATTGCGGAACTCTGTAGGTGTCAAAAATAGGAATAATAGCGGTTCTAGTAGTAGGAAAGATGAGATAGTTATAGTGGAAAATGAGAATGATAGTGGTCCTAGTAATAAGAAAAATAAGAAGATAGTTGTAGAAAATAAGAATCGTAGTTTGCCTAGTATAAAGAAAAATAAGTTAGTTGTTTTGACAGATGATTTTGGTAAATATTTGTGGGAATACTTGAACAGAGTTTTGGGGAATAGGTTTGTAATTCAGATAGTTTCTAAGCCATTTGCAAGATTAACGGATGTTGTTGCTGGTGCCGAATGATATATTAAAGATTTGACAAGTGCTGATTATGTAATTCTGGTAGCGGGTGTGAACAATCTGGATGTAAGATGCAGAGATTACGTCGTGCTTGCAAATAAATGCTTTCAAACCAATTTACTTTTATGCTCTATTCCGTTAAAAAGCGATCTATCAAGTAAAGTAAATATTTTGTCTCATATAAACAAAAAAATCCAGTACGTAGCGGAACGATTGAAACAATATTCTGCCAATATAGACATATTAGTAGATCACTCCAGTGATTATCTCGTTGGCGATTTCACTGAGCAGGGAATATATCTGAGTAGATATGGTCTTGATAGATTTTCAAGTAGAATAAAAGAAGGAATAGATAATTTTGGTCTTCATAGGAATACAAATTTGGTATGTGATAATAACATACCAACTGTAATACTGGGAGATTTTAACATTGACATGTTGAAGCCAGATAATACATATACGCAGCGTCTTACTAATATCTCACATGATATAGGATTCCAACAACAAATTAAGGAAATAACAAGGCCAAATAGAGACGGTGGTACATGTATTGATTTGTTGTTTACAAACTATCTGGATCTGATTCCTAAAGTAAAACATGCCCCCAGAGTGAGTGATCATTATTATATATGTGTCAATGGTGCAATATTGCAATCACAGAATAACATTCCACATTTTATTTCGACTAGAGGGAAAAATATAAATTATGATTTAATTAGGGAGAACCTAAAATTGGTTGATTGGCACTTTAATATAAATAATATAGATGATAAGTGTAAGTTCTTTGTGTCAACAGTTTATCGGGCACCATTAAAACAGGTTAAAATTTTACCACGATATAAACCATGGTGGAATGAAAATGTCAAAAAAGCAGCAGAACTAAGGGATAAAAGTTATAAGATTTACAAATTGCTCAAGAGTGAAGATGCACATAGATCGTATAGAGATAAGCGAAATCAAGTAGTTAAAACTATCAAAGAAGAGAAAATAAACTAGGTACTATGAGCAAAAAGTGGATGGATGTAAACGGGATCCTAGGGCAATGTGGAATGTATTGGGAGAGATTTTACCAAAGAAAAATCATGCAAACATTGATAAAATAGAGATGGAAGGAGAAATAATAATGGATAAAAACAGTCTGCCTGAAAGACTAAACAGATTTTATGTAGACAGCATAGATTCCATAATTGAAGAAATTAAACCTGATTCAGGGAATATGGATACCTTGAGTGACTTCACAAAAAATAATGCAGACTTTAGCTCGTTCAGATTAATAGATTCTGATTCCCTGTTTAAAATTGTTATGTCATTGAAAAACAAAAATAGTCCCGATGACTTGAATGTAACATTAATAAGGAATATATATCCGTCTCTTGAAGCACCCCTGATTAATTTAATAAATAGTTCACTGGAACAAGGAAAGTTTCCAGATCCTCTAAAGCTCGCTACAATAATACCAGTTCAAAAAAAACTTAACTCAATAGAAGCATCTAATTTTCGACCCATTAATACACTTCCTGTCATCGAGAAAATAATTGAAAAAGTTGTATATGATCAGCTTCTCGAATTTTTAAACACACATAATACTATAACAGAGAAGCAGTCAGGCTTCAGAAATGATCACAGCTGTGAAACTACAATACAATACATTCTGGATGAATTTAAAATAAAATATGACCAGGGTTTCAATGTACTAGCGGTTTTTCTGGACTTACAGAGAGCCTTTGAGACGGTCGATCGGCACAGATTACTTAAGAAACTAGAAAAAATTGGAATTGGGGATGTGGTGTTGAGATGGTTTGGAGACTATCTAACATCAAGAAGACAATTGACTAGACTGAATGGAATTAGTTCAATAGAGATAGTTAACGAGCAATGGTGTACCGCAGGGTAGTGTTTTGGGTCCACTATTGTTCATTATTTATATAAACGATCTGCCAGATGTAATACATGACATTGAATTGCATAACTTCGCCGATGATAGTCTATTCTACGCCTTTTCAAAAGATTTGGATTTGTTGGTGGAAACTGTTAATAATGCCCTAAATAAAATGGACAATTATGAATCAACGAATCTTTTGAAGATTAATGTTAGTAAAACTAAATTTATGTTTATTGGTACACATAATAACAGAAGTCTTTTTAATACGAACAACTATTCAATTAAAATGGGTAACAATAAGTTGGAAGAAGTTCAAAAGATTAAGTATCTTGGGGTAATTCTTGATAACAAATTAAAATTTAAAGATCACTGCAACATTCTGGTTTCTATAAAATTAGTTTTAATTATCTTAGGCGCTGTTCAGCATCTCTCTCAACTTGGTCTAGAATTGTTGTTTTCAACACTAGTTTTGCCACACTTCAATTATTGCGCAACAATACTTTATTTACTTAACCAGAATGATATCCAAATACTGCAAAAGTTGCAAAATAGATGTATGAGAATCATACTCTCATGTAACAAATATACTCCTATAAAAAGCATGCTTAGATTGCTTCAGTGGCTTCCAGTTGTGGAATATGCAAAATATAATGTACTGGTGCGCGGGACGAGCGCAGCGAGTTCCGCAGCCATCTATTTATCAATATGTTGTTTAATTACGATACTAACCTGACTCACTCAAATGTGAGTGAGTTATTGTCATTAGTTTAAAAACTACACATTTCAGGTGAATGTCTTACTTGAACAGTTCAACAGTATATTGGTGAGTAGATGGCTGCGGAACTCGCTGCGCTCGTCCCGCAGAGGTCCACCCAGAAGTTCCGCAACTGTACAACTTTTGTATTTACACCTTTCTTCTACCGTAAAGGTAAAGGCTGTAGGTGGGGTGACGATATAGGAATAAAAAAACACCCTCCCACATAACAAAATTGGGCATCAAGTACGACCCCAGCATAGGAATCTATGGTTTGGACTTTTACGTTGTATTAGGCAGGAGGAAGCAAGGAAAAGTTGGCTTTTCTCACAGGCTGATGAAAGAAGATGCCATGAAGTGGTTCCAACAGAAATACGATGGTATGGTATAATTTTGGGAAGCAAAAAGCAATAATTAAATGAGTTTTGTTAAGGAATTTTTTGTGTTTTATTTCAATTATCTTGTTAGTATAATTAACATTTTTGTTTTAATTATTTACATAGGTGAAGTTTGTTTCTTTCACAAACCTACCAAAATTGGTACAAAAAATATAACGCTACAAACCAGTGGTGCAGCCAGACATTTTGTCCGAGGGAAAAAATTATAGGAATATACACAGATCCACTAAATTTTTTTAGCTTTTCATGACATAAGCAGTTTACAGCTTTTTTCCACTTCATTATTTTTCTCTGGAAAGTTGTGGGGAGGCCCTGGCCCCCTGGCTGCGCCCCTGGTACAAACTAACCCAAAACCCTAAATCAATCTAAATACTACCCTTTAAATTATTTTTAAAGCAATTCAATATCACAATGTTATTTTGGAATTTGTAACAAAGAATGTATGTTTTGTTGGTATTAAAAATTAATAATAATAAGAAAAATAGTTCACATTGATTGTGAATAAGTTCTATTCCCTTGTCTATTGGCTACTTCAACAATCACTTGGCCACATTTTATAGTTTTGAATAAAGTTACAGCTTCCGAATGAGACCTGCCTTTAAACGATGTACCATTAATTGACAGCAACTCATCACCTAAAAGAATTATTTTACTATGAAATAATTATAAATGAATATTATTATATACCTGCTTGTAATATTTTCTTCTCACTGGCTTGTCCATCTTTGAAAATCGTCTTGACATAAATTCCCATAGGGCCTCTGGGCGAATCGCGGCCTCCTACAATTGAAAAGCCTAGGCTTTTCTTGCCAGGGCCTTTGATGAAAGTTACAGTTTTGTTTGGAGTTTTATTAGAATTAGAAATGGGCAGGCATTTGGAAATTTGTGGCCTTGTTGAGTTTGACAATGAAAATTTCCTCATTCCATATAAAGACGACGGTGAGTTTCCTGGTGAAGGGGTTCTTGAAACTGAACTTTCTTTTGGTGAAAAAGGAGGTTTTTTGAGAGGCGAAGGGCTTTTGAAAATTTTAGGTTTTTGAAGTGGTTTTTCGCTGAAAGTAACTCTACTCTCCATTGACAGTATATCGTTAAGGCCTACATAAGATTTTTGAGGAGTTTGGGATTTAGAGGGGCTAAAAGTTTGTAGGGTTTTAGGCGGACAAATCGTTGACGATTTAGAAGTGCTCAATGACAATTTGCTAGGACTTTTATTGAGGATTGAGTTGCTGTTTGGTGGAGATTTAACTGAGTCTTTTTTGGGGCTCAAAAAGAAGGCCTTAAACGAGTTTGTACGTTTTTTAGTAGGTTTTGGAATTCTAGAAACCACTAGTTCTAGTTCATTGTTTTTGGGTAAAAAATGTTTTTTGGCTGTTTGATAAGGCAAGCCTTTAATGCGAATTCCATTGGCTTTGATGACTTCGTCTCCGATTTTTAGATTTTCGTTTTTGCTCGCTACTGAATTGGGTAGAATTTCACTTAAGAAATAAGATTGTCCATTGTCACTAGGAGATATTTTGATGCCAGCCATTTCAGGTTTTTTCAATTTCAATCTTACACATTTGAATTCTTTTTCCAAAACAGTTGGCGGCTTCGGTTCGGTTATTTTCAAATTTTCAACATTCTTGTTTAAATCGTTCAAATCTTTTTCAGGAGAAAATTTGATTGTTCGTCTTTTGGTTTCGTTTTTGGTTAAATCGTCTCTGGATTTGGATCTGGCACGTTTTTTCGTTGCAGACTTGATGGGGCTTCTTGCATAGAATTTGCTGCAAAAACAATCATTAGTTGTTGATTAGGAGTTTCTTCACAGAGTCACATTCTGTGTAAAAGGAGTTATAGAACAACTAGTGATTTTGATCAGAGTAATATTATATCAGAATTCAATAATTTGCAGTAACTGCTTGGTACATTCAAGGATTAATTAATCGAGTGATTATTCTAGCAGGCTCTTGATTCAAATCAAGAGCCGAGAACAATTTCATGCTCAAAATTGGATGTCAGAAATGGGATGCCCTATATTTGGTTCTATATTCTTGATGAGCCCAATTTTTCGATTCCAAAATTATATAGTTTGTTTATATTTGGTTGTCGCTACGCTCGTCCCGCAGAGGTCCACCCATAAGTTCCGCAACAAATCTACTCGTTTGTACTTGAATAACTTGTCACAGTTGTCACATTATGTTACTAATTTGATAAAGTAACGTTACTAATTCCTGTTAAAGGGTAAATTGACAAAAAGTGGATAATCTTACAAACAGGGTCGGCGCAACCATTAGGCGAACTAGGCGGCTGCCTAGGGCGGCAAACTTAAAGGGGCGGCAAAAAGGCAACAAAAAAATATCTTTTGAATTCTGCTTTTCTTCATAATATTCAGGATTCCATTTCTCTTGCAAACCCAAACACAAACTTTGCCCTTTGCCCTTCTTATGAGCACATACTGCTATACCTGTTTTGCCACTACTTATTTTATGTTATGAATATTTTTGGCACAAAATTAACGTTTTGGGCGTGGCCCCAGAACAGGATTTTTTCGCCTCCGCCGGCGACTGCGGCGGGCAGTAATTGCCTTGAAAGTGCTTGAAAAGTGCTTCAAGCACAATAGTGCTTCGAGCACAGTGCTTGCAAGCACTTTTAAAATACAGTGCTCGGTAATTGGTAATCGAAGCCCTCTATAAAAAGTGCTTGGTAATTGGTAATTGATTTTCGCATTTAAAGTGCTTGCAAAAGGCTTGCAAGCACTCTAAAGGCTTGCAAGCACTGAAAATCAAGTCCTTGGCAACAACTTGACGCAGCATAAGCATTAATGTGATTGGCTGGTTGAAGACCGTCTCGGCGTCGGCAATATCCCACAGCCCGTGATATCGCAAGCCGGGCTGCGACGCCTTTCCTATGAAGCGTTGGCGCGTGTAAGCGCGGCCCGGCTCGCGATATCACGGGCCGTGGGAAGCTAGCTTTATAGTTGAGTCTCGCACCTCGCTGGCAAAGGCAATATGCAATATGCAACACTATTCACTAACACTATACACTATACTACCACAGTTTATTAAAGTCTCCATCTTTAGTTATGATAATGTTAATATTCGTTGATACAGTTTAGTGTAGTGTATGTAGAGTGAAGAGCCGAAGACTAGTTATAAATTAAGAACAAAAAACTTTGGTTTGATCATTTGATTATAACTATCATCATATCAACATCAACCAAAAACGTTAAAACAAAACTTATAACGTTTCAAATTGCTTTCTCCCTAGACCCCAATTCAGCAACATCTTTATTTTAAAAATAAATTGGAGGCGTTTGGCTAAGTAGTGCTTGGTAATTGGTAATTCATTTGAGAAAAAAGTGCTTGGTAATTGAATTGTGCAATTACTTTCCTTGGTAATTGGTAATTGCAAGCACTAAGAATTCCCGAAGTGCGCTCCAAGCACTTTTCTCGAGTGCTATGCCCAGCTCTGAAGTCAGGTATACCTACAGGGTGAGTCCGAAATAAGTGCGCGTTTTGTTATGATAGATAGAGTACAGTAGGACCACAGCATATACTAAAACAATCAGCAGGCTAACTTGAGTGACAGCCCGTGTAATAAAGTAGGTAATTCATCGTCGAAATGTCACTAGCGGCCATTTTGGGATACGAAACAGGGCCTGATTAACGATAATTTATGTTTTTTCTTTCCTGTCACAGAGTCGTATTGGCTTTAGATGAAGTAATTTATTAAAACTTACATGAAGTTACATATTATAATACTATTTATAATTACTAATTTATTATTTTTATTATTAAATATACAACAATGATAACAGATAACGATAACACTATAAATGACAACACGAATATACTAAAATCACTTCGGAAATCATAACTAAAATTCCGCTCTACACCGCACGCACGCCTATGACCTCCGTCAGAAATAAACAAATAAAATAAAATTTCGGCGCCCCTGCCGTTTAATGACAGGATGGTATCCCCTAATGGCGGCATGCGCAGAAAAGATGCGCATGAGAGCTGCTGATTGTTTTTGTATATGCTGTGGTAGGACGATCACTTTTTGCATAGGTACAGGGTTATTGGTTATAAATGTCACCCCCCTCTATCTTTTTTATTTGACATTTTAGAAAAAAATGTCCCAAATAAAAGTTTTATGGTTGAAATTGAATTTTTTGAAAAACTCACTTTTGCTTATACAGGGTGTTTAACAAAAGCTGGTCATGCTTTCAACTTTCTTATGTTATATGGAATACCCTGTATATTATTGAACATTCGGATTCTACATAAAATTCTGAGCAGATTTCATGTGATATACCCTATACCTAAGTTCAACTGTTTTGGAAATATTGACAATTGAAAATCTACTTTTTTGCAACTTTGACGAGCTGTAAAACCTAAACGGTTAATTTTAGAGCAAAACCGATCTCACATTTTCATCTTAGATTTTCATAAACTATCAGTTGACACTAATATTCGACAACAACTTTGAATTTAATCCATGATTAAAAATTCCAATTAAATTAAATCTCTGATTAAATTCAAGGTTGGTGTCAAATGATAGCTTATGAAAATCTTAGGAAAAAATGTAAGATCGGTTTTAAACGTCAACCGTTTAGGTTTTACAGCCTGTCAAGGTTGCAAAAAAGTCAATTTTCAACTGTCAATATTTCCAAAACAGTTGAACTTAGGTATAGGGTATATCACATGAAATCTGCTCAGAATTCTATGAAGAATTCGAATACCTATTCAATAATATATAGGGTATTCTATTTGAAATAAGAAGGTTGGAGCACGATCAGCTTTTCTAAAACATCCTGTATATGCGAAAGTTTTATTTGAGACACTTTTTTCTAAAATGTCAAATAAAAAAGATAGAGGGGGGTGACATTTATAACCAATAACCCTACAAACGTCTCGTTGAGAAAATACAGTGTTGAAATTTTCGGAAAATTTTGACTTTTTGTCTTTAGATTCAAAATGTCTTGAGCGATTTAGTTCAAATTTTCAGTGTTTGCATGTTCTCAAGCATCTTTCTAAAAAATCCGTTTGTTTGAGTTCCACTTTTCCAGGACCGGATCTAGAGCGACTCTTATTTTTTTTAAAGAAAAAAATGGTACGCCTCTGGGCTTTTTGAAAAATTAAAAATTATTTTTTTTCCCTTGTTTAATTTCAAACAAAAAAGGTATCCTAAGTTTTTCTTGTTCGATATGCGACTGGAGAATCTCGGTGTTCGATATACCTACCTACCCCACTCTGTTCACATGACACCGGAATCTAAACAATAAAAGTCAAAAAAGTTTATGTCATATTATATCGCAAACACTCCTCTGAAAATTTGAACAAAATCGCTGAAGGCATTTTGAATCTAAAGGCAAAAATCAAAATTTTCCGAAACTGTTAACACTGTATTTTCTTAAGGGGAGGTTTTTGGATACATGTACCGGGTGTTTTTTTATCTTTGATATCATTTTGATCACCTGTAACTTTTTTGTTTTTGAAGTTATCAAGGTAAACAAAAAAACAAAATCTAGGCTTAGTAGCCAAGTTACACATAAAACAAAACACTATCAACTTGTTGACATATACAGGGTGTCACGTGTCACGAAAGGTTTGTTACAAACTTCTGGGGATGGTAGATCTCGTAAAAATAAAACTTTTTTCTTGATAAACATGTGTCCGGAAATGCTTCGTTTTCCAGCTATACAGGGTGGATCAAATTTGAACCTCATCATTGGGATCTCGGTAACCGTAAGAGATACGGGGTCATTTAATTTATGGCAGAGTTGCGCAATTTTATGACCAATAGAATACCGTTTTGAGACTAGAAAGATTCCGAATACTGCCAGAGATATTCGGAAAAAAACAAAATTTTGAAAAATCGTTGAAAAGCAATTTTAAAATAAATGTCACTTCATTATTGTCACTTCTTCCCCCTTAGAAGATGGTGGTGCTAAATTTAAAATTCGACGTTTCGTCTTCAGGCGGCCATCCTTAACTTACGTTTTTCAAATACGAACCTAGATTTTTTTATTTGCCATTTTGTCATCTTTGGGAATCCTAAAACCGATACTGTTTATAATTTTTCAATAACACGGTAAAAAAGCAGGTCCGTATTTGAAGAACGTCGGATTTCAAATTTTATAATGCCATCTTGTAAAGAAGAGAAAGTGACAATGGGAATGTGAAATTAGTTTTTCAAAATGTTTTCAAATGAATTCAGGAAAAAATTTAATAAAAACGAGAAATTCATGTTTTTTTCGTATAGTTTCAATTTTTTCCTGATTTTATTTAAAAAGATTGTGGAAAACTAATTTCACCTTGCCACTGTCACTTTTTCTTCTCTACAAGATGGCGGTATTAAATTTAAAATCCAATGTTTCGTTCCTCTGAAATCATCTTTTTTTTTTTTTTTCAAATACAGACCTGCTTTTTTTGCTGTGTTATTGCATAATTATAAACAGTATCGGTTTCAGGATGCGCAAAGATGACAAAATCGCAAATAAAAAATCCAGGTTCGTATTTAAAAAAAGGAAGTAGAGGATGGCCACCTGAAGACGAAACGTCGAATTTTAAATTTAGTACCACCATCTTCAAAAGGAGAAAAAGTGACAATGATGAAGTGACATTTATTTTAAAATTGCTTTTCAAATAAGCCCCGGAAAAAATAAAAACGATTGTACAAAATCTTGATTTCTTCCGAATATCTCCGGAAGTATTCGGAATCTTTCTAGTATTGAAATACGGTATTCTATTGGTCATAAAATTGCGCAACTTTGTTATAA